TCCATGCGGCGACATGGATGAACCTGCAAGCATGCCAGTGAGAAAAGCCAGACACGAAAGATCACGTGTTGTGTGGTTCCATCATAAGAAAGTCCAGAACAGGGCAATCATAGCCAGAACGTGGTGTTTGCTAGAACTGGGAGCAGGATAGGGGACAGGTCCGTTTCTGAGGTGATGAAAATGTTCTGAAACTGACTGGTGGCAGCTGCGAGTGACTGTAAATGCACTAACAAGCATGGATTGTACACTTTTTCAAAGAGAGAACTGTATGGTGCATGCGTTATACCTCAATAAACCCGTTTTAAATAAGGGGTGGGGGTGGGGAGTGGGCAAGGAAGGAGCACGCGGTGCTGAGTTCTTTTAGGCCAGACCGTGATCAAGGACCAGCTGGCAAAGTGTCACTCCCGGCTGCACCCACCACAGCCAGGAAAGGGCTCCCCACCCAGATCCATTTTACACACCGAACAGCTGACAGCTCAAAGGCTGGTTCCCCCTCACCTCACGGGTCCCTGCTCAAAGGCTGGCCCGTCACAGCTGAGAAAGGGGGCGCCCGGGACCACGGGGCCTGAGGTGAGGGGGAATCCTGGGGTGAGGAGAGGGCACTGCAGAGCCTCCAATGACAGGAGTTCCCTCTTCATCTCAGACTCTGCCAGGCTCCAATGACGACAGTGTCCCCACTGCTCAGAGTTCTTTTTGCATTGGCAATCATCCCCCCTCCCCCCTCACACCAATTTAATCTGCTTGTATCACCCCCACCCTGAGCCTGCAGGACAAAGTCCAAGCTCCACCGCCTGGGGAAAGCCCTCTCCCACCTACAGGCCACCCTGGAAGCAGCCATGCGCACCCAGAGGGCAGAGCTATGGTCCTAGGAACCCTCCTGGTCTCCTCCCTCTGGAGCCTGCTCTGGGGCCTGCCCCCAGCTGCTCCCTCTGCTGACCCGCCAGGGCACCCTGCACGAGGCCAGCGCCCACGATATTCTTTCCCTCCACACACATGGAGGCCGTGTGCGGCAACAGGGATGCCAGGTGCGCATTAAGCAGACGCAATCCCCGCCCCTGTGGAGCTAACCCCAAATGGAGAGACCGACAGTAGCAACTGATAAAGAATTACAACCTTCTGCCCAGCTGATGTGGCTCAGTGGTTGAGCATCGACCTATGAACTAGGTCACGGGAGGTTCGATTACCAGTCAGGGCACATGCCCTGGGTTGCTGGTTCCATCCCCCATGTAGGGTACGCAGGAGGCAGCCGATCAATGATTCTCTCTCATTACTAATGTTTTTATCTCTCTCTCCCTCTCCCTTCCTCTCTGGAATCCATAAAAATATTTTTTTTAAAAGAAAAAAATTACCACCTTCCAAAAGGAGGGAAGGAAAGCATGGAGTTATGAGGACAAGGGTCTAGGATAGGGGATAGGTCCTTAGTCGGAAAATCAGGGGACATCCCTGAGGAAGGGGCGCCTGAGCTAAGAGCTGGGGCGGGAACGAATCCCAAGCAAGGGAACGGCTGTGCACAGGCACTGAGGTGGGCAAGAGCACGGAGCGTTAGCAGCTGTGGTGGCGGCGGCAGGACCAGCACGGAAGGGGCAGGTAGGACAAGATGAGACTGAGGAGGAAGTGGGGGCCAGACTGGGCAGCCCCCACAGGCATATTAGAGATGTCAGGCTTTTTCATCACCTCAGTGAGAGGGGTGGGACAGTTTTAATCCAGGAGAGCAGTGCCAGGTCTGCCTGTCTCCTACCGCCTCGCTCTGGGGCTGTGAGGGCACATCCTGGTGTCCCCTGGCCTCCCTCCGGCTGGGAGCTCAGCAAACAGTGTGCCACTGCAGAGGAAGTTGTCCTGGTGTTCAGACATGGTCCAGGGCCTTTTGGGGGACACCTCATATCTTTCCAGCTAATCAAGATAGGAAGAAGAGGTGACGGTTGACTCAAACCTTCCCTTTTAAGCTCATACAGGAAAATTGCCACAAGGATCCACCGAGACCACTCCACGTGCCTCTTGGAAGACGATCACCGAAACCTTTCTGGACAATTGTGAGCTGCAGCAGGAGGAGGACACCCCCGCCACACCTCACAGGTGGCCCTGGATGCCAGTGAGAAGAAAGTTCTCTTTGCTCCCCTAAGGCCTGGGGCAAGGACCCTCCACTGCTCCAGCCCCACTGGCCACATGGGTGAATCCCCAAAAGACCTTTGCCCAGGCTGTTCACTGAGAACTGCGTCTCAGGCAGAGCGCTGGCGGCACCAGGCTGCTGGCTCCACATGAACTTGGCACAGAAAAACAACTGAATCATCCCCACGGTTCTCTAAGCCAAACCCTCGAGGCCAACTTTTTTTTTTTTAAGCTTACGGGTGGTTTCTATGGCAACTGGCTTCAGTGATCTGCAGTAAGCCCCAGGCCCACACTCTCCCAGCCTGGCAAGGGCCACCAGGAAAACAGCACAGCCTCTCAGCTCAGACAGGTCCTCTCCACCCCAGACCCTGCAGGCTGGATGGGGGCACCCCATAGGCAGAATGCTTCCGGGCTGCAGAACATCTCCCCACACCCCAACCACCTCCCCAGGGACCTGACGGGCGCCTCTGAAAAGGGCCCTTTGAGATGAGCCCGCCAGAAGCAAACCATCTTACTGTTTTCTTACAGCAAAATGTGGAAAGACCAGCTTTGCAAAACCCAAGCCCTGGGCTCTGCTTTCCACCTCCTAAACCCAGGCCTCTTTGCTAATGTCTCAGAAGTATTCAAACAGGAATCTGAAAACATGTGATCAAGGTCAAGTGTCAGTCTACGTGGTCTGGCACTGGATTTCACTCTTGTGTGGCCTGCAGAGTGGGACGACAGGTCACCACTGTCAGCACCGTGCCTGGCCCGCCTCGTCCCTGGCCCTCTGGTCCCTGGCCCTCTGCCGGCGCCTCTGGGTCCTCCTCTATGCCAGCCTCCGCCTGGCTCCCCTCTTCCTGGGGCCTCTGGAAAGTGCAGCCTGTCACCCTTTTCCCCAAAGGATTGTTCTCTTCACAAAGGAGGCAACGCCCTGTCCTTATCAGATATCCGGCTCCATGCAGAACAGACTGCAGAGAAAATTTATCCCAGAAATCCCGAGGCTGGGAGGTTACCCTGCGGTCACCTCAGTCATCTGAGGCTGGCTGGGTGTGTGCCCTGGGTGGGACAGGCTCCAGGGACCCGGCAAGACCTCCCTGAGAAATGCACCCGGTGGCTAAAGCCCTTAAACTGCACGTCCCCACAACCCCTAACACGCTCTCTCTGTAACCTTCTTTTCTATTAGGACCAGAACACAGCGGACCCTGCTCTCCTTTACCGTCAGTGGTCACCTGCCCTGGGCTGTGAGCTGTGTGTCTGGGGGAAACAGGGGTGTGAGGCCCCCAGGGGTGGTTGCTCTAGAGCTCCCAGGGCGTGGCAGGCTGGGGGTTGTAAAGTCCTTTGTCTTGGAGGAAGCAGGAACACAGCTACAGTAGAAACACTCAGCAAACATTAGGCTCTCTAAGGTAATGAACATTACTTATCACAGCAACCTGCCCCCTGGAAAAGTATTCCCATTTTACAGAAGAGGAAAGTAAGGCTCGGGGAGGTCATGTGACCAAAGCATCACCTGCACTCGCTACGCCCTAGCACTGCATGAAGCACTTTGTGTGCACCGTGTCACCTGCTCTTCCCACACCGTGGGAGGTTTCCTGGTACTAACACCGCCTATAGATATAAAGGCCTAATATGCAAATTGTCCCTGCAGGAGTTCAACCGGGAGACCGATCGCTCGCTATGACGTGTACTGAACACTAGGGTGTGGTGCAGAACAAAGAAAGGCCCCAGCCGGCAGCCAGCAGCCAGGGAAGGGAGGCCCTGGCTGGCAAACAAAAGGCCCTGATCGGCCCTGATCGCCAGCCCAGCCTAGGCACCCTACCCATGTATACATTTCATGCACTGGGCCTCTAGTTTTACAGTAAGAAACCAGGCTCAGCCAGGCCACAGGGGAACCCAAACATGCCCTTCCCTGTGGCCTCCAGCCCTTGGGAAACATTTCAGGCCACTGGCAAGGCAAAGGCCCCCCCCGGAGGGCACCACATGGGGACGGCACCCCCCACCTCCAGGCAACAGACCACCAGCTGGGCCACAAACAGGCCACACTGCATCTGGCTTGCACACAGGAAGCAGCAATCTGTGGCAGAGTCAGCTGGGAGGGCTGAGAGCCATGGGAGGGAAGGAGGCTGAGGTCACAGACCCCGAACACAGGGAAGGAAGAAAACACTGTCAGCAGAGGGCTACTGTGTGGCAGTGAGGGTCCCCTTTGTCCTGATAAAGACAGACAGGAGGTCAGCCTCCAATTATCACACTGAAAAGTGCGAGCGCCAGCGTCCCCTCCCACTGGGGAGGCCCTGCTTCAGCTGCCTTTTCACTGATAATACGACCTTGTCTTTCCTGACCGCCGAGCTGCTTTCCAGAGGAATGAATCATGTTCTTGTCCACAACAGAGAAAATATAGGACAAGTCAGTGGGGGCGAAGGCAGGACCTCCCGAGGCAATGGGCAGGTCACCATGGGGTCAGGACCCAGGCTGCTGGAGAAATGGGGAGGGAGGCGGGAACGGCCAGGAGGGTGTGGTCTGTGCTGAGACAAGCACACGGTGTCTAGGTAATGAGCACAGAGGGGGTCTCCACCACGGCAGTTCTAATCCTAAGACCTCGAGCATGGCAAGAGGTTCCACCTCCTGTGCCAACTCAGAACCGCTGGCTGTGGCTGTGGCTGTGCAGCCACACCTGGACTCAGCAGGACTCTGATCGGTAAGTCATGCCTACACAGGGAGAGGGCTAAGGGGATGCCAACCATACCCTGGTTCAATCCCATTTCACACCCAACCAGACGGAGGTCCTGGCAAGGACGTGCCTGACCACAAGCCATGTCTTGGCAAGGGCAGAACCACTCTGGGAACACACACACAGCCAGGCAGCTTTAGAAACGCATGGGCCATTCACAGGCTCCCCTCCTCACGGCCCCGCTCACCTGGAACCTGTGCACCAGCTCCAGGGACTGGCTGTCGTTCTGGTCGGCTTCCAGGATGACATCGGTCAGCTTGTGGATGATGACGTCCAGGGGGCCCTGCTCCTCGATGGGCCGGCTAAGGTTCAGCTGCGAGGGGAGAGACACAGAGAAGAACTTCAGCACCTGAGCCCACTGCCCTAATCTGTCCCCACCCTCCGCACGTCCTGCAGCCGGACCAAGGGGTGGGGGGGCTGGCACTCGAGGGAAATAGACAGGACAAAGGGGATCCTAGAGCTCCACCGGTGCCGGGGTCCAACCCCAGCAGGTCCAGGGGTCCCCAAAGGTGTGGACGGAGTCGGCGAAGAAGGAATGACACGGAGACAGCGTTCAGTTGATCAGCAGCCTAGCCAGGATCTCCAGCCAAGTTCTGGTCTGGATCTCCAGAGAAGTTCTGCCATTTATTGTCTTGTTACATCTGTATTTATACCAGTTGATTTTAATCCTGTCAGTTTCTATTACAAAGGTTAGGGCGTTTCTTATCTCCATTCCAGGGAGTAAAGATTATGTAGCTTAAGCATGATTGTTTGTAGTTAAAGTGATTAACTACCC